AACCCCATGCCGCGACTCGAACAAAGCTTTGCCCTCTTCTGATCGCCAAGGGTTCAAGCCTTGTCTGGCTCAGCGGTGAATAGCTGGCGATATCTAAGCTGCATCCTTGCTAATTGCTAGCTGGCATGTTTGCTCCCGGCTACTCAGTTTCCTGCTGGCCAGTTGGCTACTCCTACCCCTCCCCTCTTCTTTCCGACCTAACCCTCTATTCGGACGAAATGACAGGGTGGCCCGAAGGGCATATGTTGCCAAGGTGTTGTTGCCTATGGTGGCAATGACATGTATGGAGAAAGGCAGGTGTGAAACGAGATGATGCAAATGATGAAACTAATGATCAGGGTGACAAGGACAATTACAAGATTTCATGGTGCATAGTGAAAAATGATGATAACATGATAACATGGTGACAAGGGCACGCTCATGATTGTGTGATGCAGGCGACGATGACATGCGATGGAGGTGCGATGCCAATGCTGCACTTCTTGAGAGGTTGCTGGAAGCTTTCAAAACCCAAAAGGCGCACCCTATGTTCACTCTGATTTTGAGCTCTGAGCCCATGATGTCAACATAGCGTGCCAAATTAAATTAGAGCACTCTTCCTTTTGGAGAGCATTTTTCCCAGCTTCCGAGCAGTTTTAACTGCATTCCAATCTTCAGCTCATGGCCAAGTGCAGGTTTCACCAGTTCTTGAAACGCACCTTCACTATCACTGTCAGACCACTTCCAGACTTGACCAGCTGTTGAAACACGCCGCTTCCCCGCCGAAAAAGGAAAAGCACCTCACCACCGAGAAGTTTACCCGCATCGCTTCACAACCGGTCGAAACGTCTATCAGTGGAGATGCAAGAGTAGATACAGTTCAAACCAGTTTCACCATCACGCCACTTGCAGACTCACCAGCTTTAGAAGCACATGAACATGGAAATGAAACACCGTGAAGAAAAACAAAGAGATGATCAAAGAGTGCTGAAAGATGGCAAGGAAAATGAAACGCAACAAAAAAGGCAATAAGATTCCCAAGGAACATGACAGGAGATTGAAGGCTGGTCAGTGGAGGATTCTGCGAGCCTGCATGCTACAGTATCTTCCAAGCACAGGCCCAAGCAGACTCAAAACGCGCCACCGTGCGCAGGTTTCGCAAATCACCGTGCACCCGACACGCTCTGAGGCTGCAACTATCCATTCCACTGGCATCCTCACAAGCGTAAGAACCCCGACAAGTTTTCCACAAGAATGTTCCACAAGCATTTGATTGTACAGCTGAATCCTCCGCAGGATTCAATGCAAGGCTTGAAATGTCCAGGCAAGCGAGGTTGCATCTCACATATGTCATCGGCAAACTGCAAACTTGTGAAAATTCGCTCACAAACGGCCTGTTTCAGCTATTGATTCATGTGCTCTGACTTCAACTCTGTTCTTTTGCATTTGTGCTACACATTTTCACAAATGGCTCACAAGTCCTGGCGCAATGCTCTGGCATCGTCTAGCGCTCCAGGCAACAGGCGCTGCAGGTGATAGCAAGCAGGAACGCTTCCTCGAAAAGCAGCGGTGCAATTGTGATTTGAGCAAGGCTTGAGCTTGAGGAAAAATTATGAAAAATGTTTTACATGTTTCTTCTTTTCACCATTTAAAATTGTGTGTTTGGGGTAGGCTACCGGGCAGGCCGTGGGAAGCTACAGCTAGTTTACACACAAGGCCTTGGAAGCTACTAGGTGACAGGGGACGCAAAAAGGCGGGAGGAATTTCCATCAAGAATGATAGAAGAGGTAGAATACGGTTTGATCCTCTCTCTGAGAAAAGGTAGAGGCTTCCTTGAAGAACCGGTGTACGAAACAGCTCCATCTCAGGAAGCCACTGATAGCTTTCCCACAAACACTGCTGAGATCCTGGGAATGAAAGTATAACATGCAAATTGTATTTGCCAATTCACTTCTCGCCATTTGAGCCCTTGCACAGCTTTGCACAAACAGATCCGCAAATCACGTCCTGCCAATCAGCTGTACGGAGGTGATAGATCTTTGCTATCATCATCACCATGCGAAGCGACAAGGTGGAGGCGGCAGCCAGGTCCGCATCAACGTCGACATCGATCTCTTCCTGTCGTTTCTCTCATGCTTTCTTTCTCTCTCTCTCTCTCTCTCTTGTGTGTTAGCTTCCATCATGTGTCATCATGTGTTCTCTCTGCATTTTTGCTGCTGCTTCCCAATACTTGTGAACTACTGCAATGCCACATATGTTGCAGTACTTCTTAGGGAATGCACAAGCCATGGCGGCCAGCGAAGGTCTCGCTTAACAATTGCAGTTGCATTGGATGGCGTATGTTGATCAATGCAGTAGAAGCATCATCATATACAGGGGATCAGTGTGTGTGTGGCACACATGATGCAAAGCCAACAACAGTTAAGGTTCTTTCATGTTGTCCTGGCTGCCTGTCGCAAAGAAAACGCTACATCACGTGTGGTGAATTTGGTCGGGCTGGCAAACCTGAAAGGGGGTGCACTCACTGACTGGCAAACGGTGTCTCAACCTCTTCATGTCCAACACTCTCTTGCTGCATGTCCGATACTTGAGCGCAGCAAATGCAGGCCCCGTGATTTATCCAGAATGATCTACCCACAACTTAAGCAAGGTCCCACCACACAATCCACATTTGTTGCGGCGGCATTGTTCACCAGCCTCACTCAAGATCTTCCGGAACCCCTGACAAAGTCATAGTCAAAACAGAGCTGTTTCAAAGAGCGACCATGCACATGGTGAACACTCAACCTATTAGCGATGGCCTCCAACCTAATAGCGATGGCCTCAGTAGGTATGCGTTTCAACTTGGGCCGTTGGGGCCGCTTGGGCCTCGTGGTCGAACTCTTTGACAAGGAATCGCCCAAGGAAATCTTGCACATTGAGAAGCGCATCACTGCAATTGCGCACGCCTGGGTTGGCCAATGGGACTCCAAATCCGATGAGGCACTATGCGATCCAACCACTCCCCTTCAGCAAGTAGACCAAAGGAAGAACGAAAAGGTCTGCATTTGAGGCGCCATAAGCATTTTCGAACCTGAGGAGGGCAATGCTACAAAACCATGAGGTAACGCTGTCAAGATCTGTCACGTGTCAAATCACAACCAATTAGGCAATGCACACATCCAAAAGCAGTTGGTTCCGCTCATCTGTACAGAGTTGCGCCCGAAGTGTCGTCCATTCTTCACCTCAACTGTTCGCAGCAGACTGCAAACCTCAAGAGCGATGGCCTCCAACCTACTAGCGTCCTTGCTCCTAGTAGTAAGGCCAGGAGCCCCTAGTAGCGTCCTTGCTCCTAATAGCAATAGCCTCCAACCTACTAGCGTTGGACCTGCATGTTTGGCCTGCCACGATGTTGAAAACGTGTTGGTGCACGTGTTGGCAGTCGACCGACCGAACAAGCATGAAAGCCCGTAGACCGCATTCCATTGAAAACGATGTTAAGGATGCAAACAAAATGTTACAGTAATCTACAAGGACGTATCCCGGATGTTGATCGCTGGCAAAGCGGTACGTGCTGCCTGTGGCGGCGTCCGCTTGCCACTGATGAGGCCAAGCATAGCACTGTTGGATTCTAGAATGGAAATACTTAACAATCTCAACTACTCGCCGAGCACCGTTCCTTAGCATCTTAAGCCTAAACTCGGCAGTGCCAGAAGGAGGCCATTCATTGAGCAAATGACAGGCTGCTTGTGGATGTACAGCACGCAGGTCCAGTGCTTCGCCGAAAAGAGCCCCCACAAGAGCTGAACTCGGCTATCATTGTCGACCAGACCATACTCCAAACTGTCTGTCGCCGGTGACCTGACCACTGGTGATCCATGATGTGTCATGATGCAAAGCCACTGTCAGCGTGTAGCAAGAGGCGCGGTCGTGTGATTGGTTCCACTGCCGCCTTCATGGCGCAATCAGCGGTCGCGGGCACATAGCTGATCAACGTATGCATCTGGCGAAAGTCCATCTTGCAATTTACCCGCCCGAATCCACTACAAGCCTCAAATCCGGCCGAGCCAGAAAGGGATACGAGGCAATGTTCCTTTGCAAGACAGATCTAGATCCGCCATGTTCGACTCCGGAGCGCTGACCTTCCCGAGATCCTTGGTGGTCTCACTCAGAAACCGATGCCACTCTGAAGAAACTTCAGGATCAAGCGTTACGCCGTTACGCGGAGCTTCATCTCATCGCAGAACTGTGATGGCTGCGCCTCACTTTGAGCTCTGAGCGTCATGTCGTAAACGACGATGAGGGAAGCGTCGGTGCGTTCATCCACCGCTCCCCTTTAAAGGTTGGAAGGATTCGCTTGCACGCCAGGCAACAACGATTTCACCAGTTTCACGGCCCAACGCATGGCCCACGCGTCGTTTCCATTCTTAGAACCAGAGTTCCAAAGGCAAGAATGTCCCGAGTTCTTCTCTCCAATTTGCACTGAAGCCACCCTCACTTGCGCGCAAAATGCACGCGATACGCATTTCGTGACGCTCGACCCCCGCAAGAACACGCTTCTTCGCAGCTCTCATGCACGCACCTCTATTTAGGGCCAGGGGTTGCTGTTGAGTCGTGCTTCATCTTCGTTCTGCCAGAAACCCATTGTCGGGAAGCGTAAAGGCTGGCGGAAAATTGCATATAGAGTGCGCTTCTCGTGGCGTTTTGACATGCAAAGTCAAGTTGATTTGCGTCTCTCCCTCTCCACGCAAAACGAAAAGACTTGATTCTTGCTAACGCGCCGTCACTTGTTCCAGCCAAGTCACTTTCTGCTTGCTGCGCTCGGATTGCAATCTCCGGCTGCATGCCAAAGCAATGGCCGATCTAAACTAGGGCAACTGAGGCTTGGTTGTTTGGCATCAAACCTATTAGCTATGATGAATTCTGTTTCAGTCTGTTTGTACGGCGCACGTTGCCAAACTGGGCCACAACATTGCAGCATCAGCATCCGTTCCTATCCAGTAGCTGTGACTTGCTCAGCTGCAACTTGCTGAGATCCACGCGAGCAACATAAAAAAGGGCACATCACGCCTGACTAGCACTGCTCGCCCGCGCTCGCGCAATACCACATGACATGTTTCTTTGAAGATTCTCGATCCCTTGGTGAGGCCCTAACTTCCCAGCCCTAAGGCCAAATGACCCCAGCAACCAAAATCCCAAAATATTAACAAATATGGACCTAATTGCAATGGCCTCCAACCTACACATCTGGTAGAAAAACAAATGACGCGCAGTTTCCTCTTTTTCGATTGTTTTGTGTACACGTCGGCATGCGCTGGTTGTATTCTGCGTTCGCCCTGCCGATAAGAAATTCTCCGAGCCGCAACAGGGGCTAACATGATATTCCTTCCATTCCCTTCCTCTGGCCCTTCTTACCTCTCTTGCCCTTTCTCTGCAAACACAGGCCAGTTCTGCCAGCTCCATCCAGTAGGCTGTGGATTCCATTCATAGATCACGAAAGCCTGCTCGATGTTCTTTTGGTTGAAGGCCGTTGCTATTTGCACTTGCAAGAGTACAGTAGATGCAGCGGGCATGCTCTGCCTTCGTTGATGTCCCGCACATGTTCAGCAAGGCCCTTGACACCAAGGCACAAACAGATGTGCCGGCGAAGGCCCGGAAGGTGACCTCCAAATGCGGTGAATGACCCTAAAAAGCGAGGAAATAGAACTTTAAGTGCCGACTGATTCGACTAGTAAGAGGAAGATTAAGGCAGGTACTGTTAAAATTAGAGACTGTCAACTATGATTGTGACCGTAAGGTCCAAGTCCAATGTGATTAATGGCTTGTGATGCAAGGTGCATCTACTGTACTCTGGCATGCTGAGCAATGCTCCGACCTCCACTGGCCAAGACGAAGACGTGATTTCTTCGAACATATACACCTCGCCATCCAAGTGATGTTGTTGCATCTTTGGGTTCAGCACACGGTCAACTGTTAGAAGCAAATGCACTGCGAAACTTAAGCAATAATGTATATATTCCTTTTTGTTGCTCCTGTTCTTCCTCCAATTTAGGCTCTGGAGGAGACAGGCGAGCTTTCATGCAGGCTTGGATAGGACTGGATAGGACTCAGGGAAACGGTCCACCGCAAAACAAGAAAAAACCCTTGCTGTTCGTAGGAATAGTCAGTCCAAAACCTGGCTGTCGTTGAACAGTCACTTCACACCAACGCATGTTAAACTGCATTGGCTTAGGCCCACGCAATGCCACCGATGGGAGAGTCAAACAGCATTGCCTGCATTTTTGCGAAGACAAACACTTCAAGATTCAGGGGAAAGGCCATACAGTACGGAATGAAAAACGGAAATGGATATATATATATATATATCAAAACCAAGAACAATTGCAAACCTCTTCTGCAGGTTTCTGCTGACAAGGGCCCCCCGCCATACCACAAGCCCCGCCAACTGTGCACACAATCCGTTTCGCATGCTCAAAACGATCCTGCCAGGGGCACCAAATGAAGCACCAAAAGGTGTCCCAAATGCAAAGGGCCAAATAAGTTGAATGTCCCAAGTAGCTTCTTGTTGCTAGTAGCATCCTTGCTCCTAGTAGTACGGCCGGGAGCCCCTAGTAGCTTCTTGTTACTACTATAACTGTCTGAAGCCTCATCGATCATCGTGGCGGCAGACGTGGCAGAACCGGGCGCATCAATATCCACCCACTGACCTGGGTTGCAGGCAGCATGTTGGGAAGATCTGTCGAAAAATCCTTATGATGTTTGGGAAGGGGAAATAATCACCAAGGGCCATGCCGCACATGGTTTCCGGATACAGCCAAGCTTCGGACGAACAAATGGCAATGCAGCCACGTGCGTGATAAGGTAAGCTAGGTTGCTGCCCATCGTGACCTGCCGTGATTGGCTTCTGCGCCCAAATGTTTTCCCTAGTAGCTTCCTTGCTCCTAGTCTACTAGCAGCATCCTTGCTCCTAGTAGCGATGCCCTTTGCTCCTAGTAGCTTCTTGCTCCTAGTAGTAGGGTCAGGAGCCCCTAGTAGTAGCGTCCTTGTTCCTCGTCTCAAGTCGCACTTGCACACTGAGTGCGTACCGTGGGCCCTTCACGACCAACAGGATAGCCGGTGACCTCTGATTGAAACGCATCGACATCGTGAGCCAAAAAAAAATATGCTATTAGGTTGGAGGCCACCGCTACTAGGCTGGAGGCCATTGCTCTTAGGGAAACCGCTCAAGGGAGTGAAATGAAGTGTCGGGTCAAAACCGAGACGATTGAGTTCTGAATGAGCCGAGATTTGGCCATCGGATCGCGTCACACGAGATGAGATTGCGCAATGAACTGACTTGGGGAGGTGGGAAGGGCGAAGCGCAACGACTTGCAAATCTCGAACATCTGAACACCTAGTGAAATTCTTGCACAATTAGCCTCTGGCAACTCTGGTGCAGAGTTTCTGGTGCCGGTGCCAATTTGGTCAACCGCTCAACATGCACGCGGTCCACAAATGGTCGGGTCCCCATCAGTAGCCAGCCCAGCAGCCTCCTGTGCTTACAGAGCAGCACAACGCAGACCAAAATGTACCCAGGGGGTCCCTGCGTAAGAAAAAATGACTGGGTAATGTGTCGTGCATGTATTTTGAGACTGGCAGCTCCCAAATAGCTAAATGATTATCAAATTGTGTTCATTGACAAAGGCAGGGCCAGGAGAATGATCATTGATCCTGCATGTCCTCCCTCTATGTTATGGAGTGGGATGTGCGAAATTCCCAGCGAGATGGGATGCCCACCATGCTCAGTTCTCGAAATCACTGGGAGGGTATTCTCTGCAAACAATTTTTCCGCACCTCTGCGGAAAGCACGAGAGCACGCGTGCCGTTTCGTGTCTACGAGAGCCGTGCCGCGCTCACCTTTGGCTTGCACGCGGTGCCGGGAGTGGGCACAAGTTGGTGTCGCATGTGGTGAGTGGAACTCGGTGTGACAGGGCCGAATGTGAAAGGCAAAAAAAGAAGTCTCGGACAAAATGACCTGTTTAGTAATTGCATAGCTCACACTGCTCAGCCACTGACATTAGCCAACATAGTTGCGATGGCGCGTCCAATTAGGTTCTGCAGGGTGAAGAGCTCAGGGATCTCGTTCCTGAGACCAGGAACAACAGCGAAGCAAGGAGGACACAGCGTCCAAATCAAAGCACCAAAATAGAGTCCTTAGATTCTTAGATGTCCTTAGTAAATCCTTGGATGTGTTAAAGGGTTAAGTCTCAAAACTACATAGTATTGCCACTTTTTACTAAATGGCAACTACTCAAGTCACTCAAAGCCGGTTCATGTTGGTGTCTGCTAGCCAAGTCAAAGCACGTCAAAGAACAATTTGACAAAATTAAACCTAAACATCCAAATATATATATATATATGCTTAAAACTGGAGCTGTAAAAACTAGTGATGTCGTGCGTTGTTGCTGTTGCCATAAGCTATCGCTTACCAGCCGTCTACTAGTGGCCTTCTAACGTCCTGGAACATGCTCGATAGCCTCTAGCATGCAATTATGGAGGGGCTCCGGGGGTGGTGGAGTGTTTCACAAGTATTCGCCAAGCCGGTGTCGTAATCAACACGAAGCTACTGCAGGAAAAGGACGCATGCCAGAACCCTTGCTGCTCAAAATGGTTCCTAGGTTTTGATGGACAGTTGCCTTTCAACATGCAATTTAATTTACGGAGAGGCGTGTTTCGGGGTACTAACTAAGGAGAAGGAAATGATTGAATTCATTACCGACACATGTGACACGGGAGAAAGGATAGCCATGCGCATGAACGTGCAAATACACAAGATTGTCGGAGGCAGGATTGCTAAGTTTGCTAAGCAACCTTTCTTTGCGAAACGGTGCTACCCAGCAAGAAAACGAGAAAACCAAGAAAACAACAACCTGCTACTGTCTCTAAACTGTTGCTGTCTCCACAGTCTTCGCTTGTTCGGCGCTTTCATGTTCAAGAATCTATTCAAACCGGGGGGCAAGTTCCATATCAAAACAAAAGGATACAAAAGTTTACTTAACTACCATTCAATAGAAATGCCAGAAATGAGTAGCATTGCTAGAATCCAATTACGATTGTGTTTGCCTTTGGTCTAACTCCTTGATTCTCGGTTGACTCTCTAAAGCCTTCAAGAACATGTCTGCAAATGGATGGACAATTTTGACATTGACAAAAACTATCTTAGCAAAAGGCGACATAGAGACTTGGAGGGCATTGTTGGAAAAGGGAAAGCATACATACATGGAATACATCAGAAGAGAAAAAGAAACAAAAAAAGACAGGATCAATAACTTCGAAACTCAATTCGTTTGTGCAAGCAACAAAATTGGTTGTCTAAAGTGCTTCTACGTGGACTTGGAACTGCGAATTTGTCTATCAATAAGTGACATGGCGTGCTTGCTGAATGAAACTCCTAAAACGAATGTCTTTTATCAAAAGGGTGCTTGGTATGAAAAAAGCAGGACACGTCTAATGAGTAAGTTTGGATTTGTGATCTGTCTATCACGTGGTATCTGGCAGTGGTTGACAATCCAGAATTGGAAGCAACATGTCTTGATGCTACGTGTTAAAAATAGCATCCAAAACCGTCACGAAACCATTGTGTGTGTCTAGATATGAATGGAGAGGAGGGGTTCTGGTAGGTGCTGAGTTTCTATGTATACATATATTGAAGGTCACTCTTCTCTCCCCAAAAGATCCACCAATATTCGCGTAGTTTGTTCCATAAAACGCGTAAACCTAAAATTGCGCCCTGAGAACAACCAAAAATTGCGTATGTTTGATCCGATGCTCGCCGATGTGTCATCGTTCAGAAAACTGAGAAAACATGAAAGCTAATAATAAGTTTTGGTTGCGCCCGGAGAAAAATGCTAAAATACTCGTGCAACTTGATTGTAGCAATTACTAATGCTGGTCGCGGAAAAGGTTAGATTTAAGAATGCACAACAAATAGCATCTGCCAATAGACATGCGTTGCTTTGATCACTATACTTGTTGACCAACGAACCTGCTTTTCAACTCCTAATGGTTGGTAGTTTGCAAAAATCGGACAACCTTAATTTTGGCAGCGCCACGCCCTTGAAAGTTGTCGATTACATTCGGAGTTTATCTTGAGTCTTGGCGAAGGAGAGAAGAATCAAAAAATTGTCCTAAAAAGGGACGAAACAAGAAGGATTGATAAAGGAAGGCAAGGCCCATTGAAAGGGTGGAAACAATTGTCAGTCTTTGTTTACTTTCGAAAAGTTGTGTTTTTTCTGCACTTTTTAACCACAAAAGACTCTGCTGTGTGTCTTGCGTACCGTGCTCTCACAAGGCCACCCAAGGCCAAGAGCCTCAGAAATTTGCATTCCCTAAGGCCAAGGCCCATTGAGAAAACCTTTGTTCTCAGGTGCCCCAGAACCACCGGCTGCAGGTGCACAGGTGTATATGAAGATGGTGCAGCCTTATTCCGAAATCAACTGGATTTTCGTGACATTCTTGAGCAGCTAGCTATGCTACCAACCTCTTCACAGCCTACCTCCTGAAAAAAGAAGCTCAGTTTAGTAAGCTGACGGGTAGCTACTCGGACTAGGTCTCTTCGAGGAAGCTACCCGCTTCGGGCTATGACGTCCGAGATAACATATAGATTGAGCACTCCTGTCTCTTGTCTTTCTACCACATTCAATGCATTCATAATTGTTTGTGCGTTTTCGGTTGTCGATATGTCTTACTCAATCTCTCAATCCCGTCACCGGACTTGGCCCTCAACAAAGTGCTATGCAAGAGCAAAGCATCGTGAACCTGAGGATGAACGGTCATGCTGCGTGCCCACGTCTTTGCAAACAGTGCTCAGCAGAATTTCCAACCTCGTCGCAATTACAACCCCTTCTTTGCTGCCTACTGCTCAGTGAGAGACCCCAAGATCGCGAACCAAACGCCAAGGTGGTCGACCATAAGCTGAACAACGGAAGGATGTTGAGCATTGAACCGATTGAATGATCAGCACGATAAGGTCAGAAGGATGCAACAGCGAGCAATGCAGAAGAACAAAGATTAAGCTGAAACAATTCCACCCTAAGAGCGATGGCCTCCTACGTAGTAGCGATTTCCTCCACCCCTAGCAGCGATGGCCTCCAAACCTCATATATGTGTATATAGGTTATGGCCTCCACCCTAGTAGCTATACAAAAACAAGGTCTGCTCGTCTACTCCTGGCCTGCAAGGTGCTGAACTTCCACGACACCGCGAAGGAAATGATCCAAATCGTGAAAAAATTGATCACGGCCATTGTGACGGCAGTGACAAGGGTCACGCCCCACCTCAACTGGAACAAGGACGCCTACTAGGAACGCATCGCTACTAGGAACAAGGACGCTACTAGGCGCTCCTGGCATCGCTACTAGTAACAAGAAGCTGCAAGTGAGTGAAAAAGTTGCATAAAGCAGGTTGAGCACCGAGGTGTCAGCATGACGACAAAAGGAAGTTTGTGGGTCTGCGGGCCGCTCGTCCTCAGCGAACAAAGGCAATAGGTTGCTCACGTTGAATTGGTTCACTGGGCATGCAGCTTGATTCTCCGCAATCCCCGCATTGGAGTGCCTTGAGTGAACACATGCATGGCACCGCGAAAGCGCACCAAGGGCCCTACAACAGCTGGCAAATGCAAAGCCAGTGAGATAAAAGTTGCACTGCATTGAATATGCTTGCCCCGTTTGCCCCCTTCCTTCTTGGGTTTGCAGGGGTTTCTGATCGAAAACTGTGTTGTGACAGAGCAGCACATCTGCACCAAAGGTTTTCCAGCACCTTCTTCTCCCAGCATCAAATGCTGCTGCACCAAAACCCTCAATAACTATGAAAGAAATGTAGGAAACAGGTAACCATGAACTAACACAACATGGGGCATACTCAAACTGCTCTGCTCGTCTCGATTCCTTATCGTGTCTCACCTCCTCAGTTGGGAGTTGGTGTTTGCAACTTACTTGGCTTGCAGAATGACCTTGCGACGAATGTTTGCGCACACTCCCGCAATGGCTTGGGGCTACGGGGGGCAAGGGGGTCAACCGGACAGCCTCACATGAAGCAAACACATCGGGCAATTCAAGGTCCCCAGCGTGCACAATATAGGGCAACACCACAGCGACAGGAAACGACCCGCATGTTCTACACTTCCTCCTGCCTCATTTCCACAGAGCAATGATTCCTCAGAGCGATGGCCTCCAACCCCCTTGTCTGCACGTCCTTTCTGCCTCATTGTCTGTTTTCTCCACAATTGTACTCCGCTTAAATCCCATGCATTGACCGAATGTATATACTGTACCCACATGCATACGCGTCCTAGGCCCATGATATCCCATGACTGAACAACCATAATGCCACTTAGATGGTCTAGCCAGGGGATCACGAACGAACACCGGCTCATCAGCGCCTACGTTAAAAGTTGACGCACGGTACACCCCCAAAAACCGTTGCGGCGACGCATCGGCTTTGAGATAGGCTGAGGAAAAAACAAACGTTTGCAACCCCCTGGACGGGACGCAGCTTGATACGAGTTTGGCAAGCCATGTATGATATATAATGTCACCTGCATGGTCCAGCCCAAGTCCGTCTTTCCTCTTCTCTCCTCTTCCCTTTCCATGTTTTATTCCTTTTCTCTGCTCGTCCCGCCTTTCCTTTTGGTGCCCTGCTGTTTGGGCCAGCCCAACCGTAACCATTCCCGTCAAACACTACCTGCTATCCCTGTCCTACCTCCTTCAATATTGACACCGCACCAGCAGCATCACTTTAGGTGACATCATAACATCAGATCTGACTGACTGCCCTTCATCCCCATCATTTAGGATCCTCCATCCAGTGCAAGAACGGCTGCCAGCCAACGAAATCTCAATTCGATAACTAGCTGTCCGATGCCTTCAGACACGCCTGCACCCCCCACACCCCCATTACTCCATCCATTTGTGCTATGAACTCCAGCTCTTGCAAGCGTGCAAAATACCTTGTTGCAGCACAAGGACCTGATCCAGGCTTGCGTGGGGTGCTACTTTTTGCCAGCCCAAGGGCCACCAAGGTGTCCTGGCAGGAACCAAGTTGAGCAAAGTATCCAAAACAAATAAGACGTGTCAAACAAAGGGTTTGAAGGTTGTCCTTTCCCTCTGAGTATTTCCTTTCGTTCTTTAATGCCTTGTTCCTCTTCGAAGTCCAATAGGCCGTCCTGAAAGAAACCTCCGTCATTGAGCCCACGAGCTGTGTGCAACGTCATGGCATTGTGTGAAACAACAAAGTGGCCTAGGATAATGATAATGTCATTGAGGCTGAATCTGTTGGTCACAGGCTCTGACCACCCTTGTCGCGCAAAACAAAAAAATCATAAAACTGGAAAAAACAAGTTACCTGTTTAAAAGATTAGACACATGGCATGAACCCGGTGCGTGGCACCACCTTCCTGTTCTGCTCGGTGACCGGCACCACCGTTGCTGCGCAATGCTGTGCAACTGTTACGGTTTGCAGCTGGGAGCCACATCGTCAAGGTGCACCTTTATCACAAGCAAACACCAACATCAAGCAACGCTCACCCTGGGTGAAATCATTGTTTTTGCAGCACAGTGATCCCGGAGTGTCCTGAATTCACACTAAAAACATCCAGGGCTCTTTGTGTTGGTGTTTTGAAGGTATTGCGGACCTGCCAAGTCCCAAAAGGCCCAAAATTGAAGCAATTCTATGTCAAGTGCAAATGCTGGCCAGGCATGCACAAATGGAGATTGATTTCGCTGTCGAGACAGCAATTTTTGTGGCAGACCGATTTTCCAAATGCTGTTTCTTCCCTCAACTTGTAGTGTCCTGGAACCCACTTCTTTTCTTAGCACCCTAACTCGAGTTCTTTCTTGACCAGCTCTTAACATACGAAGTGGCAGTGTGAAATGTCAGTGAAAATCAGTGAAAAGGATGTTTTAGCGATAGCAAGGCCGATGGTTTCTTTCTCACCCAAGTATCACACGGTTCTTCCATGCCAGTGACAGCGCTGCGAAATGGTTGATAACATTTTAGTGAAACCCATGACAATGTTGCGAAAGCAATCGATGATAAGTCATGAAAAGGATGGCACGGTTGTGACATCGTTAATTAAATAATAATAATCAAAAAAAGTAATGGATAATAGTAGTAATGATAGTAATATATATATATATTACATAAAGCCAATGACAATGTTGTGAGATCAAAACCCATCCTTGAAATAGACCATGTGACCACGCAGTGGATAACTTACATGCAATGAAGTCGTGACAATGAAAGCACAGTAAAGCTGCTGATTCGACAGCGCATTAGAGGGGCTCGAGCACCGCCTTAAGTGCCTGCACGTGGACCCTGATAATGAAAGGGATGCGCTCGTTCACCTCCAACCAAGAAGTGATTTCAGATACGCTATAGCCGCAAAGCAGAAGAGGCCATAGGGTCAATTCTATATTTTGTAGCCTCTGTTGCCAATCCAGTCAGCGTGGCCGCATTTGGGCAGGCAGGGGTAACAGAGTGGACGTCTCGATCAACCACCACTGCATCCAATGATGGGATGCTGGGCCATCACGCTCCATGTGACAGCCGAAAGCTAAGCACGCGAGAGCCACTGAACAAGGAGTTCTTGGGCATGGAGAGACAGAGATGTGTAGACAGTCCCGAGTATACGGCATACGTGTGGACAGTGGTTTTGCGCGCGCTATAGCGGAAAGGCATCGTTTCGATCCCCAAAAATGTGCTCTTCTCCCAGCACTCCAGCTCAAGTCCTTCAACAATCGCTTGAAGAATTGGAGTAGCAAGGACGCTACTGGGGGCTCCTGACATCGTGCTTGTCGCGCTCCCAGATGGCGACACAACGCTCGTACCCGGCGTGTGGCACTAGTGGAAGTCGCTACGAGTTCGCTGCGTTGCTCTTCATTGGACTGGACTAGTTCTGGCTGTCCGAGTTAATGAAGAGCGGTCTGTCCTCGTTTGTCTGAGCGTAGCCCTCGGTGCCCAAGTGCCAAACCAAGTTGGCAAGAGCAATGATGAGGGTGAACACGGAGAGAAACATGAAGTTGTAGCCGTCGAAGATTTCTGTGGTTGGTTGGTCTGCTTCTTATAGAGAGAGCGCTAGTCCAGAACCTCCATGCTGATCTGTTTGTCATTGTCTGTTTGGGGCACGGTCTCGCTCATGCAGCCATGTTGGCGTGAACTCCCGCCTTGTCTAGGAGCCTAGGCGAATGGAAAAGAATTTGTGCCCAAATGGTGGCACAACACTCTCTGCATTCGAACCCGAACTTGTACAGTGCGCGTGGTTCTGGTAGAACATTCACAAATCGTCATGAGATTTGAATATGCCTGCCAGGAAGAAGACGGGGCCGACCTACTGTCGAATTTGAGTCTTTGCTTGACTTGGCCTGCGTTTTGCTCAAATAACATCCAAGCCAGCAAACCCTGGACCTTCACAGGCGATGGCCCAAGATCATGTCCGTATTGTCGGCAGCCGTTGCACTCTGCTTTTGTTCACAAATCTGGACGATCGATCACGAGCCCTGGCTTATGGAAGCAGGACTTGGGTGAAATCGACGGGCCTTCGGCTTTTCGCCTCGGGCACATCTCCTAACCGTTTAACCCCACCACAAGATGCAGCTTTGCTACATCCGGAGGAGATTGTTAAGCTTAAAGATAAAAAGGCAATGCAAAATATTCTCACAAAAAAAACACAATGCCCTCAGCATCACTTTGGATCTCACCGCCTCAAGTGGACGAGCTTGCAAACGTCAACAGCCCCCCAACAAGAAAGAGTCTGCTTCGCACAAAAGAACCGAGGCGCTTTTTCTTGCTCTTTTTCTTGCCGCTTGGCGAGTCCAATTCCGCCAAGATCTCATCCAAGTCCTCATCATAGGACTCAATTTAGGAAAACACATTTTTCTGTGCGGGCTGGCACCCATGGTGTATCTACATGGTGTGAGTTGAGCCTATCATATCGTGTAGGTCCAAGAAATTGGCGAGCCACGGGAATACAAAACGCCAGCTTGACTCACACTTGTCACACCCACATTGCTGGTGAACTTGCTATTGATCTTGTTCTTCAGCTTTCAATGGGTTCTGTGAGATACAAAAGGGTGTATACAAATAATGTAAACCTGTTTTGTGAGCAGCCTTTGCGCCTTCCTTCGAGCGATTCCCACACTAGGCACACGGCTCATAGACGACCGTGAGGTTTTGAAAGCTGTAGGGATTCTAGACAATGCACAGCATGTAAACCTCTAGCCCGACCGTGCTTCTGGTATATACAGTGTATTATATTATACAGTATACATATTTCAATGCCTCAACCTGACTGATGAGAAATAGACACGAGTCCTTTCGCTAGAACGACACTATGTTTAAAGGCTTTGAGCGGACGAGGCAGCAATCAAAGCTTCTTGCCATCTTGCTAAGGGTATTCAAGAACTTTGCATGGATGCATGGGCCATGGGCATCTTGGAAGTGAAGCTGCCTCCACGTGTTACTAGTAGCGATGCCCTTGTTACTATCTCTAGGCCATGTAAACATGTAACATGTAAGCCGGGATAATCCGGGACATGCTTGAACATGGAGCAGCCCTTTGTTCATATTCGACGCCAGGTTTTGTAGAAGAAACGTTTTCGTGGTCAACCATGTTCGATCTAGAATCTAGGCTGAGCAGCAGCTAGACTGGTGACAACTTACTATAAAGCTTGATCTCTTGTAATAAACGCTTTTCTTTGATGCAAAGCCATGCAAAAATGAATTGTCTGCCTTTCGCAGCTGCCACCTCGGGCTCTTCCAGTCGCAAACTAATCCCAAATGCAGAAAGAATGAGACGATCAGGGCCGCGATCAAAGCCTGGTTCCAACTCCCCCCGCAAGAAAAAAAGTCAAGGAAGACCTGGCTTCAAGAGAAGCAAAAGTCCCCATCCCATGCAAGCACACATGGACCTTGCCAAATGCTACAACACCTGAATGCAATTGCAAGCGGAACGACCACAGGCAACAAAACAACCAACCGGGTCACCTCACCTACGCAAACAAACCCAGCTCACCTCCGCACACACCTCCTGGTAGACACCTCCTACCTGTACAAACCAATCTGGCTCACCTGTACACACAGGAAAGCTTAGTTTGCCCTTGAAAGCACGCTTCCTCACCTGCACACCCCTTTTGATAACCTGCATTTACAGGCTCAGTCACAGGTTTGGTGTCACAAGACTATACAAGCTTTGTTGGGTTGGAGTTTTTTGTATCGGATCTTAAGGTTTGTTAAATTAGGTTTTGTCGCATGGGGGGTAAAAACATTGATGGTGCACACCTCATCTTTCTTTTCAATCTTTTCTTTTTTGGTTTTCTTCTTCTCTTTTTCGGCCTTCTCACCTGACAGCGAACGAAGCGGCATCCATCCCTTAATTCGTGGGTTCCGGTTCCATTTGTGCCTCCCGCATTCTCAGCCTCTTCCATAGCGGACTCCTCTTTGGGAGGCCAAAAGTTGAAAACAAGAACAATGCCAAATCAACACGCACACCAAAGCATCAATTGACACAAAACCGTACACCCTGCCTGTGACCACGAAGGAACATCGATGGAGCCGTCCAAAATACCTTTCTGCCATTCTGTGGCTTCCACAGCGCCGCAGTCCAAGTTGCACCTTGGCCAAGCCAATCAATGCTCATGCCAGACGTGATGAACTGTATCTATTTATTTGTTCTCCCTGTCCTTTCTGCGAAAACGGGACACAATGCACAGAGTAGGGCCACGGCGACTTCAAAAAGTTGGCAACTGCATCTCTCAACCGGTTTCGCCCCTTTTTCACCTCAGAGTTTCACTCACCTTTTGTCACATGTAGCAACAAAGCTTTCTGTATGTCCTTGAAGCTTCTTAGTAACAAGAAGCTACTAGGTTGGAGGCCATCGCTATTACGGTGCAGGCCATTACTACTACTACTACTACTACTAGTACTACTACTACTACTACTAAGGAATCTGGCTGATGTAGGAAGTGTTCACTCACTTTGTGCCCAAGGCCTTTTTTGATCGCTGTCTTTCCACGTTTCAATCCTCACAGCCCTAGGGGCCCTAGGCCCTGGGGGGGGCACCCGATTTCGCAGCGCATGCTCCACCCGGATGTGCGGAGGAGTTGGAAGACCCAAATTCCACACTGCTCCGATCTGGTGAACCTAGGCCGGACAATGGATTCGTCAAGACCTACAGTGAAGTGCACGGTGAGGCTTCAAACAGCTAGCTAAAGCAGCCATCTTAAGCCGTGAAGATTCCAAACTGCGCTTTCAA